CGCCTGCCGAGGGGGAGTTTCGTCCCACGTGTCCAGGGTTACAATGCTGTACTCGAGCTCCTATGGGCGCAAGTGTCGCCGACCTTCCACGCCTCCGGCCCTTTCGGTATTTCCCCGACCCCGGCTCGGCAGCACGGCAGCTCGCCTCCAACCCCTCCCGGCACTCCATCCGAGAGGGCTTGAAGGGCTCGGAGGGCTCGGAGGGCTCGAGCTTCCGAGCCCTCCAGACCCCTCCGAGCCCTATGGAGCCCTCCAGCCCTCCAAGCCGAGCCCTACGAGCCCTCCGCGAGCCCTCCGAGCCCCCCGAGCCCGGCTTGGCGGCTCGCCCCCTAGCTCGCCCCTCCGAGCCCTCCGGGCACTCCATCCCTTGTGAGCCCTCCCGAGCCCTCCCGAGCCCACCAGCGCCACCCTCGTGCCTCTCTGCCCTCCGAGCCCTCCGAGCCCTCCGAGCTCTCCACCTCTCCCAAGCCCTCACGAGCCCTCCTACGCCTCGCTTGGCCAGCCCTCCCAAGCCCCCACCCCTCCCGAGTAGTGCCCTCCTGTGCCCTGCCGCCTGACACCTCTATCGGTGGAGGGCTTTAGGTCACGGTCCACACTCCCGCCCTCCTACCGGGCACCACACGGGCTCACGGGCACGGCGCGCACTCCCGTCTCCCCGGAAATGGCACACGGTCAAAGTCGCGGTGTGTCTCTTATTCAGGGTCTTTTTTACGCAGGCCGTGCCTCACTCTCTGACCGATGTGAGACATTTCCGATCTCGAGATCGAGATCAGATCGAGATCAGATCGAGATGGGTGGGGAGCACGGGAGCTCCAGGTATTCATAATGTGAGTCACCTGAAGCTGCCGCCCCCGTGGATGCGCATTCGCGGCTGTCCCGCAGAGGGCGCGGCGCCTGTCGCCGCTGCCGCCGCTCCGCTCTTGAAGAAGTGCGGCGCCACCTCCGCGAGCCAAGCGGCCTCGATCGTGGTGAGGTCGCGCATATAGAGCCGCGTGGTGAAGACGAGCTCGTTATAGAGCACGCAAGGCGCGCGGCGCGAGAAGAGGGCCGACGAGGGGTGGATTGAGACCGTCTGCCTCGAGACGAGGGTCACATAGTCCCCGCTCGGGCGACGCACCGCCGCCTGCAGGAAGAAGGCAGCGGCCAGCGCGCGGCGCAACTCGACCGACTCCTCGGAGCTGAGCGGTTGCGCGGCGCTCGCCACCCCGTCGGGCACGCGCCCGTCGCCGTCGCCGAGGCCAAGCCTGCGCGCGGTGGCGACGAGCTGCGTGCGCACCTGCGGAGCCGCGATGGAGCCGCGATGGAGCCGCGATGGAGCCGAGGCAGCGAGGTGCAGCCGAGATGCGGCGGAGGTGCAGCTGAGATGCGGCCGAGGTGCAGCTGAGATGCAGTCAAAGCATGCAGCCGACCCGCGTGCGCACCTGCACCGCCGTCTCGAGAGTGCGCCAGTTGAGGAAGTTGGCCTCGGCCCAGCGGCGGCCCTCGCCGCGCGCCTTGCCGCCGCCGCTCGCCGCGTCGTACGCTGACACCACGTGCAGCGCGGTGAGCGTGTCGCCGCCGGGAGAGCGGAAGCGGAGCCTCGACTCGTCGGCAGCCTCGCGGTGCGAGTGCGGCGAGTGGAAGAGAGCGCCTGCGCCGGCGGCAGGGGGGGGGCATGCGGTGGCGGGCGGGGGCATGCGGTGGCGGGCGGGGGCTGGCGGGGGCGGGCGGTGTGTCGCGGCGGCGATCGGCGGCTTGCGAGAGAGGCGCGCCGTCGGCACACAACACGCCGAGCAGGGAGAGCATCGGCCCAAGGACACGCCCGCCCCGCGCGGCGAGCAAGGCTCGGCCGTGGATCGGCTCGAGCGGCAACCGGGCGAGCAAGCGGCCGTCCGCCGTGAGCGCGCCGCTGTTGTCAAGGGCGCGCAGTGCGAGGAGCTCCTGGGCAAGAAGACAGGGGAGAGGGGGCGGTGGAGAGGCCACCGTCGGACGACGGCTGTGCGGGCGGCCCTGGGGGAGGGGGGGGGGGGGGTCGCGAACGCCTCGAGCGCCGCCGCGAGCGCGTCGGCGGGTGGCGGGGTCAGGAACTCGAAGGAGAGCACGTCCTTGACGCCGAGCGAGAGGAGGGAGAGCACCGTCGCCGAGAGGGAGCGGCGAAGCACCTCGGGCGCCGTGGCCTCCTCGAGATCGTCCTGCCGGCACGAGGGCCAAAGTAGTGGCGAGAGGGAGGAAGCGGTGGGAGGGAGGGAGCGGTGGGAGGGAGAAGCGGTGGGAGCAGGCAGCGGTGAGAGGAGGGAGCGGCGCGGCTGAAGCCACGACGCGGGGTGAGAGGGCGACGGGGTGAGAGGGCGACGGGGAGAGACGCGGACGGGGGAGAAGGGCGAGGCTTCCACCACGGAGGCGCGCGCAAGGCGGCAGGGGAGGGCGTTGCAGGAGGGCGTTGCAGGAGGGCGTTGCAGGAGGGCGTTGCAGGAGGGCGGCCGCGCCTCGAAGGTGCGCTCGGTGTAGAGGCGGAAGCACTTGCCTGCCGAGACGCGGCCTGCGCGGCCGGCGCGCTGCAGCGCGGCGGCGCGCGAGATTGGCAGCTGCAGCAGCGAGTCGACCCGTCGGGCGGCATGGTACGCCTATCGGGGGACGGCTTCGGACGCGTCCGGGACGGGTGCAGCGCCGGAGAAGCGGGGGAGGTGGCGGTTGCCTTTGACTTTGCGAGGCCGCTGTCGACGACGTACACGACCCCCTCGATGGTGAGGGACGTCTCGGCGATGTTTGTCGCGAGAACCGCCTGTCGCGGGAGGCTGCGTGAGGAGGAGTGCAGACCGGCGTGTGAAGCAAGCGAGCCCTGGCAAGCGCCTTGCGAGTGTTCGGAGGAGCCGGAGCGAGCGCTTCCATCTGCGCCGCTGGCGAGAGGGCGGCGTAGAGCGGCAACGGGAGCAGCGTCGGCGACGTGGCCGGCAGCAGCCGCGCGCGCGCCTCGATGGCGGCGGCGGCGGCGGAGATGTCGTCCTCGCCAGTGAGAAAGACGAGGACGTCTCCGGCCGGCTCGAGCTGGTGGATCTGCAGCACCTAATCAATAGCTAATTAATAGTGAATTAATAGTCTCCGGCCGGCTCGAGCTGGTGGATCTGCAGCACCGTCGTCACCACCGCCTCGAGGTAGTCCTCGCACGGCTCCGCGGCGTGGAGCACCTGGCAGGCAGACGGGCGCGGCAACGCTCAAGTCACAGCGGCATCGCAGATCGCGGCCGGGCACGCTCTTTCTTTCAGCTCGGCATTCGGGGGGCTGCTCACCTCGACCGGGTGAGATCGCCCCAGGACCTGCACCGCGGGCGCGCCGTCAAAGAAGGCGCAAAAGGTGTCGACCTCGAGCGTCGCCGACATGACGACCAGTTTCAGCGGGCCTGCGCCGCCTCCGTTGGCCGATCGGCGCCGCGCCTGGGCCGACTTGAGCAGCGCCAGGACCACGTCAGAGGCGAGGGAGCGCTCGTGCGCCTCGTCAACGATGAGCGCAGAGTAGGCGGAGAGCAGCGGGTCGGAGGCGGCCTCGCGCAGGAGCATCCCGTCGGTCACAAATTTGATGGCTGTGCCGCCGCGCTTCGGAGGCCTCCGGTCAAAACTCTCGTCGAAGCGGACGGCGTAGCCGACGAGCGAGCCGACGGGACAGGCCTGCTCGGCGGCGACGCGGCGCGCGAGAGAGACGGCGGCGACGCGGCGCGGCTGCGTTATGCCCACTGCGCCGGCCTCGGTGTAGCCGGCGGCGTGCAGGAACTGCGGAACCTGCGTGCTCTTGCCCGAGCCCGTCTCGCCAGTGAGGATGAGCGTCTCTGCGGCGGCCACCTCACGGAGCAGAGCGCGCCGCGCCGACCAGATTGGGAGCTTCCGCCGTGTGGCGAGGAGATCCTCGCCAGTCGGCTCAGAGCGCGAACGTTTTGTCATCGTGGCTGTCCGGTGCGAAGTCCGGTGCGAAGGCGATGCGAAGGCGATGCGAAGGCGAAGCGAAGGCGAAGCACACGTCGATGACAAACGCGGAGTGGTGCCGTGCTGTCGAGTGCTGACGTCCGGGGCTTCTTTGTTTCTTTTTTTGCGGCCGCCTTCCGAGCCTCACTTTCTTCACCTTCCTACCTAACCTAACCCGCCGTGTGCCATGTGCAAAAGGCAGTTGCCTTTGCGGTGTCGAGATGGTGCAGAGCGGCGGTGAATTCTTTTAGTGCCCTTGTCTTCAGACTTCACCTTTCTTTCTACCTAACCTAACCCTTGTAACGCATCAAGCCCTCACTCCGGCGTTCCCACTCCATGCTCCACCCGCGGGTCCGGCCCTACAGTACATCCGCCCCCCCCCGCAGGGCCCGCGCTCCATGGCCGCGTCACGAGGGAGCGCGATCGGTACAGCTTCGACTTGAGGATGAGCAGCTCTCCCTTGGCCCGCGCGACGCTCGCTAGCGACTCCTTCTCGCGCTTGAGCCCCTCCGACTCCTCCCGCACCGTCTCGAGCGCGCGCTGCGCGGCCGCGTTTCTCCGCGCCAGCTGAGGCAGGGGAGGGGAGTCCGAGGTCAGCACTCTGAGGGTCCGGGCAGCCGCCGTCCCCGTCTCGCGCACCTCGTCCGCGTGCCACTGCGTCGCCTCCGCCGCCGCCTCCACCTTTGCGCTCCTCGCCTCCAGCGCCTCCACCTGCGCGCGCAGCGCCGCCTGCGCCTCGCGCTCCCCGGCCAGCGCCGCCTCCCGATCGGCAGCCTGCGCCCGCGCTTCGGCCAGCGCCTCCCGCACGTCGCCAAGCCGGGCCTCGAGCGCGCGCCGGCCGTCAATCGCGTCGGCGACGGCGCCCTCGAGCTGCGCGTTCCGCGCCGCGACGGCCCCCGCCTCGCTCTCGACCGCATGCAACGCCGCCTCGACCGCCTCCCGCGCCGCCTGTGCCTCGCCGAGCTGCGATTCGAGGACGGCGGAGCGCCGCAGCGCCGTCGCGAGCTCGGCCGCCCGGCGCTCGCCCGCCGCCTGGAGGGAGGCCGCTGTGACCAGCCCGCCGCGGAGGTCGTCGACCAACGCCTGGTACGACTGCACCTGCTCGCGCAGGGACTCGGCGTCCGAGGCCAGCGCGGCCTTGTCGTCCGCCAGCTGCACCAGCAGCGCCTGCAGCTTGCCCACCTGGCCCGACGGCGCCACGTGGTTATTCTTGGACGGCGCCAGGCGCAGCTTGCCCGCCTCCTCGCCAAACATCAGGGCGTCGAGGGCGTCGCGCCCCGCGGCGTCGCCGGGCTGCAAAGGCACCGTCACGAGCACCGCCACGACCGCCTGCCCGGCTAGGGACGGCTGCAGCAGCCGCGTGATTGCAGAGTTGCGAAAGTGCAGCACCGGCTTGTGGGCGGCGAGGGCGTGCACCACCGCCTTGAGCCAGTGCAGCGACTTGTTGATGGCGATTCCCTCGCTCACGCGCTGGCGCTCCCGGTTGAGCGTCGCCGCCTCGGAGCCGGCGAGGTCGACGAGAGTCAGCACTCCCGAGGAGAGGTCCGACAGGCTCTCGCGCGAGTCGCCCTCCCCTTGCACCTCCACGAGGCGTGCGGCCTCGACGCGCAGCCGCACGACGGTGTGGGCGTGGGGTGTCGAGGTGTCGAGTCAGTGTCGAGGTTTGGTGTCGAGGTGTCGAGGCCAGGCCTCAGTCTCCAGTGAGACGAGACAGCCTCTGGGGGGAGGCGGGGGCCCTAGAGGGTATCCATGCGGGGGGGAGATGGGGATTTTTTGGGACTTTTTTCTTTTTTGCGATTTTTTACTCGTTTTCATGGGAATTCGCCGTCCTTGCGGCCATGCTATCACGCCTTGCGACAGCCTGTCGGCCGCTGCTGAACGTGCCCTGCTGCACAATTGACCACCTGCATAGCTCGTGGCCTTAGTCTTCGGCATTCAGTGACGACCTGATCGTACGGCCAGTAGGAAGGTGTCCTTCCAGCGCGTGCACGCTTCTGACGCAATGCCCGTCACAAACTGCCTCGGCGACTGGCTGCTGGCACTCTCGAGGCTATGCCTACACAGCCTCGCGCGCATGGGCAGTCAAGAGGGACCATGCACTTTCTCAGGACAGCGCCAGTGCCTCTCCCTTGGACCGGCAAACGTGGTGGTCTCGTGTCACCAATGTGGGACCAGTGCGGCATCGCGCCATCGACAGCTCTGAACTGCGCCTCACCACTGACCGGGAAGGCCGCCAAGTGGGTCAGCACCGGTCGCACATTGTGGCAGCAGTCAGCAGCGCATGTCTGATAGCTAGAGCAGCAGCGTCAGGGTCGCAGGGTCGGATCATGTCAAGCCTCTCGCCCGGCCGGCCGTGTGCAGACGTCGGCCTGTCTGCTGTCTGGAGTGATCTGTCGGCGGTCAGTACGACCAATCAGGTCGGAGTTTTCTGATGGTTGGAGGGTCTATCTGTATGTACTCCTCGAGATCTCTCCAAATCTGCCCTCTGATCAACCGTGATCATTCGGGAAGTCGGTGCTAACGGAGACTAACGGAGCCAGAGCCCCGTTTCCGCACTGCTGCGCGGCGCACGGTGCCTCCGGGGGCCCCCGCCTCCCCCCAGAGGAGACAGCCCCTAATTTCACTCCTCGATGGTTGTGTGATAAGGGGTCGCTCGTCTACAACAATTGTACGCTCATCCTCGTTACTCGAGCTCTAGAGCCTCGAGCTCCTAGAGCCTCCTCTACGCTCTCTAGCTCTACCCACGAGCCAGATCCAGCTCGCAGCTGCGCAACCGCGCGGAGCGAGCGAAGCGCCAGGCCGCGAGGGTAGTGAAAAGGTAAATTTCAAACTCAACACAAGCAGTCACGATCAACGTCTGCGCACGAGGTGTAAAGTCACCGACGCCGCGGCTAGCCTCCCCCCCCCCCTCGCCCACGGCGGCGGCGCCCCCCCGCCCCCGCCAGGAGCTCTGCCTCTACCTCTCCCGCCGCCGCCTCGTTGCCGTCCCTCGGCGTCGCGGTGCTTCCTGCCCTTGCAGTGCTCGGTCAGCTGAGCCACGCTGGTGAAGGCGATGTCGCAAACCTCGCAGAAGCGGCCCTCCTCCCGCGCCGCCGCCGCCCGCGCCGCCTGCACGTGCTTCTTCCCCTGCAGGTGCTCGCGCAGCAGCGCCTGTCGACGAGAGCGGGCGGCGGAGGGTGAGAGCCGTGGCAGGGCCGGGTAGGGCCAGGGAGGGGAGGAGGGGAGAGGGCCTGCGAGGTGACGCTCACGCCGCACATCTCGCAGCGCAGGCCGACGACGCCGGGAGCCTCCACCGGCTCCTCGTCGTCAGCGCCCTTCACTCCGGAGCGGCCGCGCTTGCGGTGCGGAGCCGCCGGCTGCGTCGGCGAAGGCAGCCGGCCGTCGCCATCCGAGTCGCCGCCAGAGGCGCCGTCCGAGCCGAGCTCGGCCAGCTCGGACTCGAGCTTCGCGATCCTCTCGTCGAGCTCACAGATCGTCCGCCGTCGAATGTTGGCCGAGGGCGCCGCCGCCGGACTGGCGGCTGGACTGGCGGCAGTTTGCACCGGTGCTGGTGGCGAGGCCAGGCGCGGACGCGTCGCTCGGCTGCGGCGACGGCCCGGCAGGATCGTCGAGTGACTCTCCCACCACGGACGGGGGCTTGGGCCGCTCGATGTTGAAGCCATCCGCGGCGGCGGCGGGAGCGTGGCAGCGTGTCCGAGAAAGTTTATCGATCCACACTTCGATAGACCGAAAGTAAGATCGTTCGGTGCAGAAACGCCGGCCATGCCCATGTAACGCACTTGTGCTCGATTTTTGGTTTAGAAGTGTCTCCAAGTCTTCTGGACCCATCGATGGCCGTCGCCTCGACGCCGCTCGTCGCGGCACCATCGTGCCCGGCCTGGGCGAAGCGTCGTCGCGGGTTCCCGCCGCAGTTCGACGGCAAGCCGTGCGAGCCTGCCGAGGAGGAGGACATGTGGCTGTGCAGAGCCGACGGCCGCGCGCGCAGCACCGCCGACCTGAAGCGCCTGGCGACCGCCGCTCGGGTGCGAGCGAAACGAGCAGGAGATGCAGCCGCCGCGAACACGCGCGATCGGCAGGCGCGCGACCAGCGCCGCCGGCAGCGTGAGCAGCACGACCGGCGCGCAGCGCCGGCGGTCGCCAAGACCGTGCGCCCACAACGCGGCCAGTGCGGCTGCCCGGCGCACGCGGTGTGCGGCATGTGCGTCGACCAGGGCAAGCTCGCCGCGGCCGAGCAGGCGGCCATCGACCTGGAGACGCGCTTCCACGCCTCGACGAACGTCGTCATGGACCTGGAGCGGCCCGAGGACGAGACGGCGGCGCTGCAGCGACGCATCAGGCGCGCAGGACGACGGTGCAAGCATGTCCGAGGGTGAGTAGAAGTGTGTGGAGGTTTGGTAGGCTGTAGCGTCGTCGCGCGTAAGAAGAGTGGTGAAATTTAGAAAAGGAGTTGCGGTGTTGATCGCCGCGGGAGCCCTCTTATTGGTCACACTACGTCTCCAAGTCTTCGTCCCGCGTCGGACAACAACGTCTGTCCCACACACGCACAGACGCGCACATACATCATGCTCAGGCACCCCCGCAGTGACACAGTAGTGGTTTGAGTCAAACCACACAAGTACTAGCAGAGAGTGCACACACACACCTGAACACACAAATCGCTCTCTCTCACACCTGAAGAAGAGATCTGATCTCTCTCACACCTGCCTTGGCGAGTGAGGCCTGAGGGTCGTAAGAATCAAAGCCTCTTGGTGTCATTGGTGCCAAACGTGCTCAAGCGCGCCGAAGAGAGACGGTCTACACTCGAGGGAGTTAGCGAAAGTCGCACGGGCAGAGGGGAGACCGAGGGCTCCGCGCTCCGCACCGGCAGTCCGCACCGCCTCGCGAAAGGGAAGCAACGATCAACTCCAGCTTGGACTTGGGTGCGCCGAGCGCCGGCGCGTAGGTCGCGACCGACGCGCAGCGGTGGCTCGTCGCGTTGAACGTATCCTGGTCAGAAGAAAGCTGAAGATTTTGCAACTGCTGCCCAAGTTTTGTTGATGGGCTGCAACTACATCCTGCCACCTTGGACACCTCGACACCTTAGACGCAAAACCCCTTGACAACACTCGACACCTGCTCGACACCCTCGACACCCTCGACACCCCTCGACACCCCTCGACACGGACAAGCTTGGTCCCAGCCTCGACAGGCCTCGACAGGCCTCGACAGGCCTCGACAGGCCTCGACATCTCTATCCCTCGACAGCAGCTCGACACCCTCGACACCGGGCCTCGACACCTCGACACCAGGGCTCAGACTGGAGAGAGAGAGAGAGAGAGAGAGAGAGAGAGAGAGAGAGAGAGAGAGAGAGAGAGGAGAGAGAGAGAGAGAGAGCCTTCTCTCTCGTCTGTAAGGCCCATGGTAAGGCCGCGAAATTCTTCGCCGCTCTGCGGACGGCAGCGTGTACCACGCGCGCAACCTGCACTTCTTCTTTACGGAGCTGATGGCCGAGCTGGTGTACGCCGGCGTCTTCAGATCTTCAGAAACGGAAACAGACAACCCAAGGGAGGGATGGGAGGACGGCACGCCGCCACCACACAGGGATTTTAAGAAGAGGGGTGTGGTGCGCTATCCGTCTGAGATCTCTGTACGGACCGCGCGCAGCCCGAGACCTCAGCGCGCCGTCGAGAGCAGCTTGGCAGGCATTGGCCTGTCCGAGGTTTTCCGGGCAAACAAAAAGGAAGGCGCTCTCAAAAAGGAAAAGAGAGGGTCCCGAGCACTTTGCGTTTCCGGAAATTTCCAGGGAAAACAGAGGGTGTTTGGTGCTCCATTCGGAGTTTCCCTGAGTCTGAGAGCTGGTCTGGGGCAAAATCTGAGGCAAAATTGAGGAAATCGGCAAACTACCCGGGTATTTTCCAGGACCAGGTATGTACCATGAAAAGTTAGTATACCCGCAAAATACCGGTATTTTGCCGATTTTGCTGATCTCGGCCCCAAAATAGCCTCAGACTCAGCTCAGTTACTGAGGCTCAGAGCCCCAAAATGACGATTTTAACGGAGTTTTCCGAACAAAACAGAAAGGAAAGAGGTGGTAGAGAAAAAAGGAAACGAAAACAGACGGGGTGCGAGAGGAAAACCTCGGACAGCCCAAGGCAGGCATGGCCGACGAGACCGCGGCTGATCAGGCGCGCCCTGATTGCTGGCAAATCGTGGATTGCTGTGAACAGGCCAGCAAACACGTCATTGCTGACAGCGCACACGATCCAGACGAGAGACGTGCGTGGCGCCCACATCACATCACGCCACCGCATACTCCGCCACCCACCCGCGCCCGCCATCGCACCGTCACGCGCTCTCCCCTCACCGCTCCGCAGCCCTTCCACTCCTCCGCAAACATGGCCGCCGCTGTCGCTTCCCTGATCGGCCTCTCTGGCGCGTCGTCCACCGTGTACTTCGAGGACGACTTTACCAAGGGCATGGACAAGTGCGCGCGCCTGCTCACCTCGCGATTATTACCCCCCCGCCGCTCTCGCCTCCCTCCCACCGCCTCCCCGCCCGCTCCCACTGGCCGCCTCCACTGCTTGCCTTTCGCACTCGCCTTGTCGCCGCCCAGCCGCATCGCATCGCATCGCATCACACCGGCTCACCGCGGCAGGTGGACGGTGGGCACGATGCCGGGCAAGGAGATGGGCAAGTGGGACGTCACGCCGGGCAAGTGGTTCGTCGACGAGGAGGCGAATAAGGGCCTCACCATCACCGAGGACATGCGGTGCGCGCGCCTCCGCCTCCGCCTCCGCCTCCCCGCCCTCCTCGTCTCGTGGCGGTCTCCCTCGCCACGCTCGCCCCCGCCTGCGCGCCGTCCGCGAGCCGCCTCCCGCCCCCTCCGCAGCTTCTACTCCATCACCGCGCCCCTCGACAAGCCCGCCTCGTCCAAGGGCAAGGACCTCGTGATTCAGTTTTCGGCCAAGATTGAGAACCACCAGTATGCCTTCTGCGGCGGCGGCTACATCAAGCTGCTGCCCGCGGGGACCAAGGCGGAAAGCTTCAACGGCGACGACGAGTACCAGATCATGTTCGGCCCCGACCTCTGCGGCTACGACGTGTCGCACGTCCACCTCATCTTCAACCACAAGGGCGAGAACCTGCTCAAGACGGACAAGATCTCGCTCGAGTACTCGGACAAGGCGTGACCCCCCCCCCCCCCCCCCCCGCCCCTCTCCCGCCTGCGCCCTCCCAGGCCCCGGCGGCTGCCACCTGTCCCTGCGCTGCCGCCTCCCCCCCGCTCTTCTCCCTCGCCCCGCCTCCGCCGCCGCCTCCGGACCCTACCCCTGGGGACCCTACCCCCTCGAGCCTGCCCTCACCCGCCACCGCCACCCGCCGCCGCCGCCGCACAGAACGAGTTCACCCACCTCTACACGGCGCACATCAAGCCGGACGGGACGTACGAGGTCTTCTTCGACCTCGAGTCCAAGGCCAAGGGCAAGATCGTCGAGGACTGGGGCTTCCCCAAGCCGGAGATCGACGATCCGGACGACAAGAAGCCGTCCGACTGGGTCGACGAGACAATGATGGACGACCCCGAGGACAAGAAGCCGGAGGGGTGCGGCACACCCCTACCCCCTTCTCCGCATCCCCCCTGCACGTCACCGCTCACCGCCCTCACCGCCCTCACCGCCCTCACCACCCCTCCTCCACGCACCCTCCCCCCTCGCCCCTCACGCCGCCCCGCCCGTCGCCGCGCCGCAGGTACGATGACATCCCGGCCCAGATCCCGGACCCGGACGCGACCAAGCCCGACGACTGGGACGACGAGGACGATGGCGAGTGGGAGGCGCCCATGGTGGACAACCCCGACTACAAGGGCGAGTGGTCGCCCAAGCGGATCGACAACCCGGCGTACAAGGGCGAGTGGAAGCCAAAGCAGATCAAAAACAAGGACTACGAGGAGGGCGTGCAGCTGGCGGCGTACGAGGGCGCGATGCTCGGCTTCGAGCTCTGGATCGTCAACAACGGCACTATCTTCGACAACATCCTGGTGACGGACGACATCGAGTACGCAAAGGCGCAGGGCGAGAAGCTGTGGAAGCCGACGCAGGAGGGGGAGAAGGAGGTCAAGGAGAAGTGGGACAAGGAGAACAAGCCGGACGAGCCGGAGGGGGGCGAGGAGGACGGCGAGGATTTTGACGAGGTGCTCGCGCGGCTGGCGCCCCCCCCGCTCGCCGCCCGTAGCACTGCCTCGCCCGCCCGCCCGTTGCCCTGCCCCCCTCACGGCTTCTGGCTCACGCCCGCTCCTCTCGCGCCAGGACGAGGAGCCGCCCGAGGAGGAGGAGGAGGAGAAGGACGAGCTGTAGGGCGCGATGCCACTCTACGACTGAGGGGAGGATCGACTCTCGCGCTCGCCAGGCGCCCCCCTCCGTGCGGCCGGCCCGCTGGCAACGCAGAGCGCAGCAGCAGCGCACCGGCGCGGGGGGCTTTTGGGAGGGCGAGCGAGGAGTACTGTCGTGATGGGGTGCCGTCGTTGTTTGAGTAAGATGATATCGTGCGACGAGCGCGTGATGCCACCATTATTGATGTCGCAAACGACTCCCACCCTCCCTCACCCCTCGTGCGCCGCACGAGCACCGACGACGACCCGCGACGAGGGACCGCGACCGACGCCGACCGACGAGCGACCGACCGGCCCGCCGGCCCGCGGCCGTCGCGTCCACCAGCCTCCCCGCTCCCGGGCAGGGCGTAATTTTTTCTCCTGTGTGACCACAGGCGCGCGTTTCTCTTACTAAATAAATAAATAAAACGGACATCCCAAGGCCCAAGCTGCGTTTCTCTAAATAAATAAATAGAGCAGTACACTCCAGGAGAGATGGGCGACGCACGAACACAGAGGCACGGTGCGCACCCAAACTGCGTTCTCTCTCTCTCTCTCTCTCTCTCTCTCACTGCGTTTCTCTTCAGCGAAATTCTTTATCGCTGGCCTCGCTACAGCGCCTCCGTGCCTCAATGTACATGCACCGCGTCGCTGCGGACGAGGTCGCCCTCTCCGGCTCAGGCTACGCAGCCGCGGCGCTGCAGGCGGCGCTGTCTCAGTGGCTTGTCGCCGGCGGCCACGTGCTGCTCCGTGGCTGCCGTGACCAGGCGCTCATCGCGGCGAGCGCGACAGCGTTTGCGCTGGCTCAGGCCGCAGGCGCTCTCGACGCCGAGGCCGAGGCGCTACAGCTCACGCTGCGCTCCCTCAACGACGGCGCTGAGCGCGGCCCGGAGTGGCAGCGCGAGCGGCATGTGCCGCCGGGAGCGGACGACGCCTCGGACGGGAGCTCGGTGCAGGCCTCACTCATCGCGGCGAACGTGCACGGCGGCAAGCCGGAGCGGCCGCTGGTGCCTCCGCCGCCGTCTGCCAACCTCCCGCCCGGCTGCGTGCGGGCGCCCGACGGCTCGCTCCGGCTGCTGTCGCCGGCGCTGCTCTCTGCGGGTGAGTGCAACCTGCTGGTGGCGGGCGGGGTGGCGATGATGGCGGGGGCCTTCTCGCGCCGCGGACAGACGACGCTCGGCATCTCGCCCGCCCTCTCACACCGCCTCGCCGGCCAGCAGCCCCTCGCCCGCGCGGTGCCGCCGCCGCCCCGCCGCCAGCCGAGCTGTGGAGGGGCGGTCTTTTCACACCGCCTGGCTGTGAACAGGTGCCGCTGCTGTACCTCGCCGTCGAGCGGGCGCGCCGCCGCGTGTGCACCGCCTTCGGCACGCCGCCCGAGCGCACCCGCCTCTCCGACGCCACGCTCACCCGGCTAAGGCCCACACCGCCCCTCGACGGAGCTGAGGAGGGCGGCGGGCGGGACGGCTGCGCAAGGCTGTGAACGGCGCCTCGTCAGGCGGCGAGGCTGTGAGCAGGCGGAGGATGGGCGGCTGGCGAGCGAGGCTGGCGCCTTCGACGTCGGCCTCTGCCGCGGCGACCACTTCAGCTACTGGCGGCCGCACATCGACAAGGTGCGCGCAGTGCCCGAGCCTATCCCTGACCCGAACCCCGTCCCTACCCCAGCTGCCCGAACCCCGACCCCGACCCCGACCCCGACCCCGACCCCGACCCCGGACTATCCCCAGGACTCCGGTGCCAGAGCCTACCCTAACTCAACCCCGACCCTACTCCTCTGACCCTGACCCTCACTAGCCCAAGCTGTGGCACCCAATGGCCGGTGGTATGTGCCGCGCCCCACTCAGACCAGGCCGCTTGGCCGGAGCGCAAGTCTGTCCACTCTCCCCCCCACTCTCCCCGCAAGGTGGTCTCCACTCTCCCCCCCACTCTCCCCCCCCCCCCGCAGGTGTCCGTGCCCGAGTACGAGCACTCCGCCCTCCTCTACCTCGGACATCACGGCGCGGACTTCGACGGAGGGCGGCTGACCTTCTTCGATCCGGACGCAGACGCGGTGCCGCTGCCCCTTGCGCCCTCTGCCCTCCCTGCGCAAACCTCTTCACGCCGCGTCCGTGGTGCAGGTTGTGCTGCCCGAGGCTGGGCTGCTCGTCTCCTTCCCCTCGGGGCCGCCCTCACTGCACGCCGTCGAGAGAGTCACTCGAGGGGCGAGGCGACGCCCCCCCGACGCCCCACGGCCTGAGATCTGCCCGAGAGAAGGCCGAGGCCATGCACGAGGCCTGGCCGAGGCCTGGCCGAGGCCATGCACGAGACCTGGCCGAGACCTGGCCGAGACCTGGCCGAGACCTGGCCGAGACCTGGCCGAGGCCTGGCCGAGGCCTGGCCGAGGCCTGGCCGAGGCCCGAGCGGCGCGGGCCCGCCGTTCGCTCCTCGCCCCGTGGCCGCGTCAGCTGATCCCGCTCCGTGCCCCCCCCCGCAGGTTCGCTCTCACGATGTGGTTCACAACCGCGCCTCCCGACCCGTCCTCGCCACTCGACTCTGCCCACGCACGCCCCCGCCTCGGCCGGGCGCACACCGCGGCGGCGGCGCTTTCACACCTCCGGCTGTGAACAGGCCGCCCTCCTCGAGTGGGCGAGCCGCGCGGCCGACGCCGAGGACCCCTCCCCCTCCCCCTCCCCCTCCCCGCCCCCTCCGCCTCCTCCGCCTCCTCCGCCTCCTCCTCCTCCTCCTGGCTGCTGCACCGAGGGGCTCCTGACGCGCGAGGACGCTCTCGCCTCGGCCGCGCTCTGCTCGCTGCCGCCAAACGACCCGCTCTGCGCAGCTCTCCTGGCGAGCCGCGCGCGCGGCGCCTCCTCGCTCCCGCTGCTGCTGCGGCGCGCCCTCCGCCTGCCAGCACTGCTACCCGGCGCACTGCCGCCCGGCGAGTCTGCCGCCGGCGCGACTTCGTCTGGGTCGCGCCTGCCCGTCTGCGCCAGCACCAACCCCCTCGCGCGCGCGCCACGCCTCCCCGAGCCGGGGAAGCCCGCCCTCCCCCTTCTCGACGGCTTGCTCGCCACCCTCTCCGCCTGCGGCAGCGAGCCCGGCACGCTCGCGCAGCGGCTCGGCGGGCGGGTGCGGCTGTACGACGCGCTGCTACAGACGCTGCTCCGTGCTACCGCCAAGGGCGCGGCGGCACAGACCCACGCCGAGCGCCTCGCCTCGGCCTCCTCGCCGCCCGCCGGCGCCGCCACTGGCATTGCGTTTGCGAGCAGCGCCGCTATCGCCGCCGTCGGGGCCGGACAACCCACGAGTGCTCCCACGGAGGGCTCGGCAGACGATCCTTTCGCCGTGTTTGGCTAGGGCGTGAGCGCAACACGATTTTTACTAAAAACCGTACTAGCTCATCCCGGCCTTGCTGCTCACGGCCGCAAGGCCTTGCTGCTGCTCATCACGGCCTTGGGCATCACGGCCGCTTCCGCCGCCGGAGACTTTCGGCGTCGGCTCGCAGTAGTAGCACGCGGTGTCGAGCCTCAGCCTCTCGAGGCAGGGCCCGTCGCGAATGGCCTTGGCGTCTGCGAGGGTGAGCCACGCAGGCACGCGGCCGACCGGCCACATGTCTCCTATTGCAAGCCGGTCGGGGCGGCCGATCGCCTGGAGCATCATTCGGGCGCGATCCTTGCCCAAGCACTCAAAGTCGAGCTCGACGAGGTAGTGGAAGCGGCCCTCCTGGCAGTGGTCGTAAAAGCGGTCGCCTTCGGCGGGGCAGACCTGCTCGAGCGGGTAGAGGCGGCGGTAGTGCTGCCACGCCGCCCAGCAGGCCGCCGCAAGGAGCAGGAGGTACGCCGGCAGCCGGTAGCGCAGAAATCTCCGCCGCGCCGCGCGCCGCTCCATCCGCGCGCGCTTCTCGCCCATGCTGAGGTACGCTGAGTGGCGCCACACACTCCGGCTTGGGAGCGAGCAGGATTCACAGCCATTCTGGTGGCACATTCCGAGGTTAGCCCTTCCTACCTGTGTGTGTGTGTGTGTGTGTGTGTGTGTGTGTGTGTGTGATACTCACTCACCCTTCCTACCTATGTGAGCTCTCAGTCGCGCGTGTTTTGTGTGAGGAAGGGCGCTTGGGTCTAAATTTAGTGCGTGTGAATGAACTTTAGAGCGCGCCCCTAAATTCGCGCTAAAGTGCACTAAAGATGCAGTATGTAGATAAACACTTCACAGCCTTGTTGTTGAGAAGAAAATACCAGAAGGCGCTGTGCGCTGGTCTGTGAGAGGTTGAGGTGCGAGCCCTGGAGGCCCTGGGGATGGGGGGAGACTACCCGCGGGCCTAGAAGGCCCGCGCGCAGGGGGGTGGGGCATTGAGACCGGTCATGAATGAGTCGTGCGCGACACGCATACATTGCGAGCAGCGTTGTTGATGTTCTGCGCGTCGCCACAGACGGCGGCGCGAGAGAGCTCTGTTGCGAGTGGTGCTGGGCGAAGCCCCGGGCGCTGCCGGAGGCTGTGCCGTAGAGCGTAGTCGGTGCGGTCGACGGCGCTCGGGCTGCCGACCTCTTTGGCGAAGTTGAAGATGAAATCTCTTGCTTGGTTGGCGGCGCGATCCTGCCGCCCTGGCTTTCGACGAGACAAATTTTGACGATTCCGTTCTTGACATGGAGCGCGTCGTAGACGTAGTACTGTCCCTTTTGTGCTCTTTGACCCAGCCTCTGAGGGAGGGTGTAGAGGATGTAGAGTGTAGAGCGCTGTAGAGCTGTAGAGATGTAGAGCGCTGTAGAGCTGTAGAGCTCTACATCCGCCGCGTGACGAGGCGGGTGCGTTGTAGAGCGATGTAGAGCGCGATTTTGTTGTAGAGTTTGTTGTAGAGGCTCTACAGCCAAACCGCCGGGAAGGCAGTGACTCAAAGAGGTCGAGTCGCACTAATGGGGTGTCTCCGAGCTTACTGGAGCTCTGATGGACGGCCCTGACTATCCCTGACACACAGAGAGTCACTCTGACGGCACACAACACCCTATAACTGCGTCATGACCAGCCTGCCATGCGTCGCCGGTGCCGCATTCGTCGCAGTGCTTCTGTAGCAGGCGGTGGACTGTCGGCTGCAAGGACGGTCGCATTTGCGCGAGGCGAGGCGAGCAATGCTGCGCGTTGCATGCGCTATGCCTCGCGCCAGCGCGTGCGGGAGCTCCTGGCTGAGCGTTGAGTCCAGGCGAGTTGCGCTGGCCACTATCGCTACGCCGAGCCGAGCTGACGCGCCGAGGCGCCGGCCAGTCGCAGCCGTGAGGCATGCCACAGCAGCAGAGGCACCTGCCACCCATTGGGCGGGCAGACAGAAGGCCAGGGCAGCACTGGCAAGTGCAACGCGCCTCATGTCGGAGAGCGACCGTGCCTCGTTCGCCGCTTTTGATGTAGAGTTTGTTGTAGAGATTTCACGTTGTAGAGCGCCTCTACATCGCTCTACAACGCACCCGCCTCGTCACGCGGCGGATGTAGAGCTCTACAGCTCTACAGCGCTCTACAGCGCTCTACATCTCTACAGCTCTACAGTGCTCTACACTCTACATCCTCTACACCCTCCCTCAGCCCAGCCTTTGCCGGTCGCATGGACGAGCGGGCCCTGTGACTTGTGGCCGCGCTCTTTGCACCCAAGAACCTTGAGCAAGGTTTGGTCGAGGGTGCTGCCGAAACCAAATTTGTGGCCCAGTGACGCAAAGCATCCGCCGTGTGCTGCCGAGCCCTGCCCAGCCTGCCTGGTCTTTGTGAGGGCGCAGGCACCTTGACTTCGTAGTGGACATCGCGCTGGGACTGCAGGTCCCCGCCGATCTCACACATGTCGGCCGTGACGTGCCGCCCCTCGTTGAGATTCACACAAAAACACAACAAAACATTGTTAAAAATCTCTCTCAAAAACACTACCCCGGACCCAAGACTTGCTTGCGCCAAGAGCAAGACGCACTCAAGCAAAAAGAGAAATCTCACCCCGCAAGGACACCCTAAGCAAGGGATTCACGCCGCGCACACAAAAAACCGCGAAGATCTGCCTCCCTCTCTCTCCATCTGTATTCAGGAGAGACGCCTGAGAGAGATTTTTATTAACCAACAATGTCATGCCCTCGCTGAGAGCTCCTGTACTGCAGAGGGGTATCTCTACTCTAATTCCTCCCCCGTAAGGTGAAAAAGAAATAAATCCCTGGGAGTTGTGCGTTTACGTGAGTCTTCCGGCGCTTCCCGGCAGAAGCAGCGCGGGTCGGCCCCGATTTGCTCGATCGTGACCAGCGCGCCGGTGCCGTGGCTCGCCGTCCTCCCGCAGCTTCTGAGAGCCGCCGAGGTCGATGGTCAGGGTTGGCGACGACACCGCCGAAACCGGGTCCTTCCTCTGCCGCCCTGGCACCGGCTACAGGACCCGCACTGGCAAGACGTGCTGCCCAGCGAGCAACATCCGGCAAGACAACCTGCACAGCTGGTTCCGTGCGGATGCGCGACTCTCCTCCATGAGCGGCGGCGTCGCCAGTATCTCGCTCCGCCTCTACTTTCGGTACGTCTTCAACGAGCGGGTCGAGTGGCGGCCGCTCCGGTGGGAGCTCCTGAGCGAGATGCACGGCCGGCGCGTGCATGTTTCTGCTGCATCGACCGACCTGCGGTACGCGTGGCACGTCCATCCGGACGCCGCCTCGCTCGCGCCCAACGCGGCCGACCTCCCCATTCAGCTCCGCCTTCCGGACGGCGCCGGCTCGACACCGCTCACCGTTCGGCTGCACGCGAGCTTTGGCGTGCGCGCGTGGGATCCGGCGATACAGATGTGCATCGACTCTGAGGACGTCGTCCACGTCGACCCGGGCAGAGGCCAAGAGATGCTCGTCGAGGGCGAGGCGCTCACCAACCCCGTCACGCTGACCCCAGCAGGACACTCGCGGCCCCGCCCGGAACCGCCTCTGGTGGCGGCGCTGAGCGCGGACCGCAGGCTTGTGACGCTGCGGCTGGGCGGGCGCGGCGCCGACGAGATCGAGGACGCAGCCGCCATCTCGCGCGACCTCGAGGCGCCGTGCAATCAGCAGCCGCAGCCGCAGCCGCCGCAGCAGCTGCGGCAGCCGCCGCCGCCGGAGCAGTGCTGGCGGGCGCGACTGGTTGCGGGCGCGCTGGACGCGACCGCCTTTGGCGCGCTGCAGGCCGACATTGCCACCGGCCACCGATTGGCGGGCGCGCTGTTTGGCGAGGCGCGATCGCAGGTGCCCGCAGAGGCGGCGGCGCACGCGCAGCGCCCGCTCATCGCGCCGGCGTGCGTGGGCCTGAACTTGTACGTGCGCAGCGCCGACGGGTCGCCGGCGACGGGGAAGCTGCACTCGTCCCCGGCCCTAGATGCGGGCTGCACGTCCTTTGCACTCCGGTCCGAGAGGATGCGTCATCAGTCCCGCCGCATGGGCCCTGTACTCATGGCCCCTGTGCTCGCATATGTGCAGTGCAGGAGGCGGCGTTCACAATCCTCCCTTCCGTGTCTCCACACTGCAGGCACGTTCACAGCCCTCACGCCTCGCACCGCAGGTACCTCGCGATGGGCGCCCACGCCATCATTGCGCGGCGAGGCGGCGAGGCGATGTGGCACGTCCACTTCAGCACGCCCGAGGCCTTCAGCCACAGCGGCGAGGGAGGGCGGGGAGGGCCGCGCCTCGCCAAGCAGATGCCCGGGGCGGGGGAGCCCCCTCCTCTCTGACCCTCCTACGGCCGTTCCTACAGGCCGAGCCTCGCGCAGCAGATCGCCAGGTGCGACGCCGCCCTCCCCGGCATGCGCGGCGAGTGGGAGATGGCGCCGCCGACTCCATTCGGGCCCTCGCTCGCCGGCGCGAGGACCGGCCGGCCTGCCGCTTGCGAGCAGCGTCTCTTCACGGCTCTGCGCGTGAGCAGGCGCGTGGATCGCCGACGCGCCCGGCACCTTCGCCGTCTTCGTCATGGCGAAGGTGCGGCAGGACGACGGCTCGCAACGAGGCTCCTTCGCCCTCCTCGCCCCCACCTTTTACGTTCAGGTCGGCGAGCAGGGAGCGCTCCGGCCGCCGCCCTCGCCGCCGCCTCCGCCGCCGCCCTCGCCGCCGCCGCCGCCTCCGCCCTCGCCGCTGCCCTCGCCGCCGCCGCCGCCTCCGCCCTCGCCGCTGCCCTCGCCGCCGCCGCCGCCGCCGCCCTCGCCGCCGCCTCCGCCGCCGCCCTCGCCGCTGCCCTCGCCGCCACCGCCGCCGCCCTCGCCGCCGCCGCCGCAATCGCCGCCGCCGCCGCTATCGCCGCCTCCGCCGCCGCCCTCGCCGCCGCCCTCGCCGCCGCCCTCGCCGCCGATTTCGCCGCCGCCGCCGCCGCCGCCCTCGCCGCCGCCTCCGCCGCCGCCCTCGCCGCTGCCCTCGCCGCCCTCGCCGCCGCCCTCGCCGCCGCCGCCGCCCTCGCCGCCGCCTCCGCCGCCGCCATCGCCCCCTTCCCCTGCGCCATCGTCGTCGCCGCCGCCGCTGCCGAAGGGCCCGCTGCTGTGGAGCGATGAGTTCGACGGCTCCTCCATCGACGAGTCGAAGTGGATGCACGACAACTCGCCGCCGGAGAATGGCGAGGAGCAGGACTATGTCGGCCCCGGCCGCGGCACTTCGCGGGTGGCAGATGGCTCGCTCGCCCTCACCGCGCGGCGTTCGGCCGACGGCACCGTGACCTCCGCCCGGCTGACCACGCTCTGGCGCTTCAACTTCACTTACGGCATCGTGGAGGCGCGAGTGCGCGCGCCGCTGGTGGCGGGCCTCTGGCCCGCGTTTTGGATGCTGGGCACCGACCTGCTCGACCCGAACATGGGTTGGCCCGCATGCGGCGAGATCGACGTCATGGAGATCTTTGGCACCCGGCGCGGCGCTGCTTCCTGCTCGACAGTGCACAACTCGCGCCACTCGTGGGGCACGCTCGACCCGCTCGAGGGCGGCTGCTTCGCCCTCGAGGAGCCGGAGCCGGCGTGGCATGTGTGGAGGTTGCTGTGGACGCCGCGGCGCATCGCCTTCTTCATCGACGACGGGCGCACGCCAATCTACTCGTACTCGCCCGCGCAACGGACGGCGGCCAACTTCCCATACACCAGGCCGCAGTACCTGATCGCTAACTTGGCGGTGGGAGGCGACGGCCCCTCGCAGCCCGTCGACTTCTCCGCGCTCGATCCGCCTGGCACGACCCTCTTCCTCGACTACGTTCGCGTCTACGCCCTTCCCGACGGATTGGACGAGCTGGCCGAAATGAGCTGGCCGAATGACGTCGAGCGGCCGACGCTGTCCATGCCGTCGCAGCCCCTTCCGAGTCCGCTTCAACCCCTGTTGCCGCCGCCGCCGCCGCAGCCCCTTTCGCCGCCGCCGCCGACGACTGGTCTAGCAGTAGACCCTGCGAGTCGGCTCGCCCTCGGAGCTGTCGGCGGCGCCGTCGCCGCGCTTGGTGCGCTCGGCTACTTTGCCCGTTGCCGGCGCAGGATGCGTGGGTACGCGAGAGCTGTCGACAGCGACGCGGCGCACGAAGCGGCGAGAGTTGCCGAACCCGAAGAGTGTGTGTATGACCTATGACGTGCGCGATCAGTGTACAGTGATCGAGGGGGAGGGGGCACGAGGGGGAGGCTCTCTCTTGGAGTGTACGATTTAATACAATCTTGACCACACAATCACAGTGTTCACACGTACAGAGGTCATACGTACAGCATCCTTTGGCAACTGCCACTGAGCGCCTGGAGCCATGCCTGCCAGAGCCGCAAGGCCACAGTGGTGGGCGGCATGTGCTTTTGATTTCTTTTATTGAAATTCTTTTCTAGGCTGTGGGCGCCGCCATGTGCGGGGCATGCGCCAAATGCGGAGGTCATAGAAAGAATTTTACAACGAAACTCCCTCGCACGACACTGGGCACGGGACTGGCGCGCACTGGCACTAACACAAAAGAAAGAAAGATAATCCCTACGTGTGGAACTCCGGCTACGCCAACGACGGCGTCTCGTGGCGGCTATGCTGGCCCATGCCATTTATCGAGCCACTCTCATCACCCTCCTCCACGCGCCCGACGGAGTCCGACCGCCGGGACACGGGCGACCCCGGCGAGAAGGCGCCCCCCCCCCGCAGGCTCGCCTCGCGGGACGGCGCTGCGGACGACAGCGGCGACACGCGCCCCGCCGCCCACGACCAGAGCGAGGCGCCTGCGGCGGCGAAGTAGTCCATTAGTTCATTGATTAGCGTCGAATGATAGCCGCCCCACGAGGAGCGCCAATCGACGAGGACCGCGAGATGCCTCCGAGCGATCCGCCGACCTGTTCACGCGTACAGCCGTGAAGTGACGCTCCGCTGTCCCTCGGCCGCCCACCCAGCCTACTGCTACTGTGCTGCTGCTACCGCCACAGCTACCACTACTACTCTGCTACTGCCACCGCAGCCGGCCACCGAGTCGCGGGTCGACGAGCCCGGAGAAGCAGACGCTGGGCCGCCGCCCCTGCGTGGGGGGGCGTGGGGGGAGAGAGGCCGGCCCGCGAAAGCGACGCCGCCCGACAAGCTCGGGTCGCGTGACGGGCCTATTCTTGATTGGAGCCGTGACCAGCTGGCCATCACTCAAGCCCGACAAGCTCGGGTGCCTATGACGCATCGCACTGCTCGCTGCGGACCAGCTAGGAGTGCTCGCCGGGGGCACTGCGACGGACCGGCGGAGGGCGGCGGCGAAACGCGGCCTGCCCAACTCCACAGGAAAGCGCCTATCGCCAGCCAGTCACGGCGTCGGTGAGTCGAGAAGCCTCTCTGCGGGCGGGTGCCATATCTCCCCATATCTCCCCATATCTCCCCATATCTCCCCATATCTCCCCCAGACTCGGCGGGCGGGTGCCGGCGGAAGAGGCGGACGACGACTCGCCTCGCGACCCGCCCGCCTACGAACAGTCGATGCTCGTTCATAGTCGAGGAGGAGGAGGAGGAGGACCCGCCTCGCGCGCCCGCCTCGCTGCCGCCGTGCGATCCGCCCGTGCCGCCGCCCACCGCTCCGCCCTGCCCCTCCATCAGCCTCACCTGTCAGCCACTCAACGCTCCTCAACAACAGGGATGCCTCCTCACCGCCGGCCTGCCCCGACCTGCCTCGCCCTCACCGGGACGGTGAAAGCGCCCCCTGCCCGCGCACCCGCAAAAGCGCCCCCCCCCCGCAGGCTCGCCTCGCGGGACGGCGCTGCGGACGACAGCGGCGACACGCGCCCCGCCGCCCACGACCAGAGCGAGGCGCCTGCGGCGGCGAACTAGGCCATTAGTTCATTGATTGGCGTCGAATGATAGCCGCCCACGACCAGAGCGAGGCGCCTGCGGCGAAGCAACTTCCTTTCGATGAGTTCACGTTCAAGCACAGCCGCCTCACGGCCAGAGCGAAGAGCGCCGATGGACGACGCCGACGGCGACCGCGAGAAAGCGCCTGTGATTGCACTCAATCAATTCAATTTCCTATTAGCGCTGCTTCATCATAGCCGGACTAGGACAAGGCGCCTCTTCCTCCAGACAAGCTCGGGTCGCGCGAGCCGCACCCCTCGCAGCCCTGCTCCCCTGCACCGCCCACCGCCCCGCCACCCACCGCCCCGCCGCCCTTCCCCTCTCCACCCGCCGCCTCGCCGCCCTGCCCCTCGCCCTCGCGGCCCCGCACGTGCGTGAGAGCGACGTCGCCTATCATCCGCAATCCACCACCAGCTGAACAGCGGACTGGAGTCCGGCGTGCTTCGCCGCGTCGATGCCCTTCTCCAGCCACGCCGCCACCGCCTCGTTCTTGACCTTGCGCGCGAAGTGTGCCGCCGTCCTCCCCTCGCCGTCGGGGCGAGAGCGGTCGGCGCCTAGAGGGGCCGTCCATTCATTAAGCGAGGCTTCAACCCTGTGCCCCGCTCCGCACTAGAGAGGACACGGCGCCGCGCGAGACCAACAGCCGGCAGCACGCCTGAGCAGCGCCGGCGGCCATGTTGTGATGAGCGGTTTGGTCATGGACCGGCGCGGCCAAGGCGGCACCGCGCCTCGCTGCCGCTCCTCGCCATGCATGCGAAGGAAAGCGCGGTCTGCCTACGTGTGAGGAGGCCTCCGAAGCCTCGGGGATGGGCCCGCAGAGACTGCGAGGGCTGGAGGTCGCTTGCCCCGTCATGTTCGGCTTGTCGACCTCTGCGCCCGCGTCGAGGAGCAGCCGGGCGCACGACTCCTTCCCCATGATGCACGCCTCCACAGAGAGATTAGGCTTAGGGCTAACCGATAGGATTCTCCCACCCCATGATCCGCACAACGCCTCCATCAGCGCCGTCACGCCCGCCCGGCTCGTGATTTCCACGCTGCAGCCGGACTCGAGCAGTTTCTCGACAATCGCGTCGTGCCCGTTGACGCAGGCGTACTTGAGCGGCGTCAGTCCAGACCGGCCCGGCCTGTTTACGATGTCCTGCTGGAAGGGGTCCGAGCGCGCCTCGGCGAGCAGCCGATTCACCTCGACGCGGTCGCCGTTGAGGCAGGCCTTGCAGAGCGGCGAGTCGGACCGATCCGTCCACAGCTCCTCACACATGTTGGGGATAGAGGGGCTCTCGCCGCTCGACTTGCTGGACAGCTCCTCGTACGCCTCTGAGATGCTCAAGAAGAGGGCTGCATCGCCGTCCTTCTTGTCGGGGTGGTGCTGCAGCGCGAGGGTGCGGAACGCACGCTTGATTTCGGCAGGGCTCGCGTCGAGGCTGACTCCGAGCACCTCGTTCGCGGTGAGTTTTCGCTGCCTTGAGAAGAACATTGCGCTACCTGTGGCCATGCGGTGCCCAAGAGAAAAAGAATTGAGCAGGGAGTGCGCCGCGAAAGCTGCTCGACAGGCTGCGGGCATCGCTGCGGCAAAAGAGCCCGCCCTCTACTTTGCTTTCGCCGCGTTTTACGACAACTTTCGGTTTATCATAGCCGCCGAACTTTAGCTCGCTGTTTCTTTGTATATAGGCGTCTCGCAGAAGAAAAAAGAATTTTACAAAGCTCCCTCGCACAACACTGGGCACGGGACTGGCGCGCACTGGCACTAACACAGGTACACCACTGGAGCCGCCTAAGCGACTCCCGCGAGGACGGCGAGGCACTTAGCTCCGTGCACTCGACCGCCCTCGCCGCTGGCAAGCTCATTCACAATCTGCTCTGCGATGGCCGTGTGAAGAACGACTGAGATGCGCTGCTTCTGCAGCCCCAGCCAGCTCTTGGTGGTCCAAGTCACCTCATCGAGGTACTGGGCCCGCGTCAGCTTGTTCTGCAGCACGTTCGCCGCCCCCACAGAGGATCTCGCCGACCCCCTTCCCAAACCCACCGAACGACTCGAACAGCAGCAGCCGCACGTCGACGTCCTTGTCCTCCCTGGCGTAGCGATACTCGCCGCCATAGGACGGTATGCGGCGATCGCCGCCCACTACCCTGCCCCCCCTAGTATGCCATCGGGACCAGTCCCCTGCCCCCTCTCGCCCTTGCTCTTCCTCTCTCCCTCCATTCCCTCGCCCCCATACCCCTCACACTCCCCTCCATCCCCCTCCCCCTCCCCCTCGCCTCCCCCTCCCTCCGCGCGGTAGGGCCCATGCCCCTCGACCATGTTCCGGTAGAACGCCTCGGTGTTGCCGAAGGCGACAAAAGCGCCCTTCCGACCATGCTCCCCGCCGCGGGTGAGGGGGCAGACAACCTTGACATCGCCTGAAAAGCGCTTGCCGCCCCTGCCAATGTTGCACGCGTCCACGTCGGGTTGTTTGTTGTAACTCTGACCGGGTGCCCACAGGGCCCAAAAAAAGAAATGAAAAAAGAAATGGGGCACCCCCGATCGCAGCACTTCGTGTTGGCCAGTCGAGAAATTGAGAGTGTGACTAGGAGGGTGGGACGCTGGGGATTCTCAAAGGTATACCCTTGGAATGGCCGGATCCAGCCTTAAAATACGAGATCGCGCGCGCTTCACGCACAGCACCGCCTGTTCTCCGCGGCTGTGTGACGACGCGTGCCGTGTACCAGCAGAGTTGGGCGCGCGCGGCGCGACGGCGCCCGCGAGGGAAGGCGCGGGTGCAGCGGCCGCCGGCGGCCGTACCGCCCGCCAGCCGGCGCAGCAGCGGCCAGCGCAGCGGCCGCCGGCGCAGCAGCCAGAGCAGCCGGTGCGCGCCTTGCGAGGCGAGTACTGCCGTCCGGCAGCCTTGAGGCGGCCGGGCGGCAGTACTCGTTCGAACTTTGCGAGCCGTGCGCGCGCCGAGGCGCCCGCGGCGCGCGCCCGCCCGGCTGCCAGTAGGAGGCGGCGCAATATGGCCTATAGTACAGCCCTTGAGGAGGAGGAAGAGGCTGGCTGGCAGTGCTGTATGCCGCCGAGGGGCAGTTTTGGGGTGCTGTCCCCATCCCACGGGCTGAGCCCTGGCCTCGACACCTCGACACCAAACCTCGACACCGACTCGACACCTCGACACCCCATGCCAACTCGACCAACTCGACACCCCTCGACACCCCTCGACACCATCTAGGCTGGGACCATGCTCGTCCGTGTCAAGGTGCCAAACTCGACACCTCGACACCCCTCGACACCGCTCGACACCGCTCGACACCGCTCGACACCGCTCGACACCGCTCGACACCGCTCGACACCACACCTCGACGGGGACCCTCTGAGACGACAGGCACCCTCTGAGCGGCGCAGCCTCTGAGGCTACGGGGACCCTCTGAGACGCCAAGGCAAGCCCCGCGAGGCCGCTCCTCAGAGGGGGTTGTCAGCGGTATTTCAAGTCTGTCGTGATCCCCCACCAAGCAGAGAGAACCCCCCCCAGTTTCCATTTTTCGGATACCTCAAGTTCGAGTTCACGCGGACGCCGTGGCGCCTCATGGCCAAGCTGGAGCAGGGGAAGGACGTGGAGATCACTACCTCCTCCTCGGGCGGCCGCTCCAAGCACATCCTCAAAAGTTGACGGGTCGGCGCCGCGGGCCGCGCGAAGCTGTCGCGCAGGCCGGGCTCGGCGCGGGCGCTGTGAGCCTGCAGCAGCAGTAAAAGCGTATGTGGTCTCTGGTCTGCCGGGCGCTCGAGCATAGAAGAATATAGGCTGCAGGCTCAGGTAGTAAAACATTATGATGACCAAGGCGAGCCGCAGACCAAGGCGCTACGTCACGAAATAATACGCATCCAGGCTTCCCCCCGGGGAAAACTGCTTACGCACCACCCCAGTCCCTAGCCCTCACTCCCCAGCATCTACACCCTCCTACCCTGACTCCCACCCTACCATCTCTCTGAAGTTGAGCGACGAAACAAGCGAGGGCAAGAAGCTTGCAAAGCGGGTGGCAAGACGTCTCGTCGCCCCGCCTCATGCCCGGCCGCGAGCGGCGAGCCAGTGTAGCTCGGCACACCGAACTGTCCCATCTTCCTGGCCGGTTAGCAGGAAATCCACGCCTCGATCTCCCCATTTGGAAATTCGACTGTGTGATGGTTGTCGCCGTGGTACTCCCGGCGGCCTAGGGAAGGAGAGTGCTGCCGAGTGTATGGGCGAGCCGAAGGGAAGTATCTGTGTGGACTTCTGCGTGGCGCACCGTGGCCGACATTGCTGTCAGCGGCGCAGTACTCGACGTCGTCGATACCGAGGCAGAAGTAAGGGGGCAACGAATCGCACCGGCCGGAACCAAAAAAGCCAAAGAACCACCCCGGTTCATAGTTGCAGAGGCCGTCTCCGCAGTCCGAGTGGCGCGGAGTGAGGCCGTCGACCCTGCAGACCTCGCATGGCGCACCATGCCTGCACTTGCCATCGATGCATTTGCCGGCTCCAGCGCCCAAGCACTGCGCGAGCCATGTGAGGGAAGCGTGGATATGGGGTTGAGGGGGGTGGGGCAGGGGGGAGCTTACGTGGCTGCCGCTGCTGCACGCGTCCTCGTGTCGACCTGGGCTGTTTGAGCAGGCCCCGTTGATGCAGATCCGGTACGGGTCGCAGTCTCCATGCCCAGGTCGCCAGCACGGGTCGGAGCACCTATAGCTCACCCTCTGTGTCAGGAAAGAGAAGTAAAAGCAGCAAGGACGAGCCTATAAGTTCTTACTGGTTGTCGTTGCTGCAGGTCTTTGTGCAGGTCCAGTCGTGACAGCGGCCGCTCTGGCACTGGGAACCATCCCAGTTCTTGCACGGGCTGCCTGAGGGGAGGTTGCCGCACTGGTCCCACCTGTTGCCGTGGCCGTGCGGGCAGCAGCGCTTGTCAAAGTTGCTCCAGTCGCGACACGCGCCAGACAAGCACTCCCCGTCAGCGCCGCAACTCTCGCCATTCTCTCTATTGGCCCTGGTGCAGGTCCAGTCGTGACAGCGGCCGCTCTGGCACTGGGAACCATCCCAGTTCTTGCACGCGCTGCCTGAGGGGAGGTTGCCGCACTGGTCCCACCTGTTGCCGTGGCCGTGCGGGCAGCAGCGCTTGTCAAAGTTGCTCCAGTCGCGACACGCGCCAGACAAGCACTGATCGTCGTTGCTGCAGCCGTCGCCGGACCCCCTATCGCGACTCCCTCCTTTGCGCGAGTCCCGGAGGGAGTCGTATGATGCGCCCGCGCACGAGGCGCAGCAGTAGTGCTGGATGTCCTCCGGCACAGACGGGCAATATCCCATGGACAGCACCTCGGCGCAGGTGCTCACTTGGACGCCGAGGGCGGTGGCAAACGCGGGCACCGCAGCGTCGTCGTCAACACACGTCGAGATGGGCGCGAATCCCAGGCTGTGCGGCAGAATGGCCGCGACAAGTAGTAGAATCGCCCGCCCCGCCCGCGCGAGGTGGCATCGTGGTTGGTGCATTGCGGCGCCAAGGGCTCCCGCAATCAAAGGGCGCGACCGATGGCGGGCACCTTGACTTTTTTAACGTTTTTGGCTTTTTCAGAAAGAAAGAAAACCAGGCCAAGGGAGTTTTCCTTGCTAGAAAGAAAGAAAACAGACAAACCAACCGAGGGATGGGAGGAGGACAAGGTCCCCACCTGCACGAGCAGGATCTTGGAAGGAAGGACGATCAGGGACACAGGGGAACGGGAGCGGGGAGCGCACGAGCGCATCGCGACACGGAGGGGGGCTGGGCAGGGTTCACCCACACGACAGGGTCCCAGGACCTCTCTCGTATAGGACGGGTTGCACCCGGTGGCACGGGGGCAGGCGCGGGCCTCCTACTGGTTGCGCTCTCTCCTAGTTCTCCTGCTCCTGACAAGGGGACAGCGCGACAGTTCGCAGCCTTGCTCGGCACTTGGAGCACTTGGAGTGCAGTCATCAACCTCACGTCCAGGGCCGGGGAGCTGAGAAGCGCACCCAGCGGGCCGGATGATCGGGATCGGGTTACGGGCAAGAGAGCCCTAGCCCTGGGGGGCGCGCGTTCGCAGGGAAAGGGCCATAAAGTAAACACAGGTCTCCGAGGGTTGGTTCTGCGCTTTGGGTGGGCACGCTTGGCATTCTTTTTCTTCAGAAAGAAAGAAAACAGGCAGCAGTCCGTACAAATAGGACGAGAGAGACGTTTCGGAAAGCATGCGCGACGCTGCCTCTTTGCGCCGCTCGCGCTCGCGGCGACGGGAGACATGGCCGCCGATGCGGCTCGCACTCCCTCGGCGGGCCTCCGTCCCACAGCCGCCCGGGCGTGCCAGGGGTCGGCCTGGCACTGCGCTGCTCGCACGCTGCACTGCACAAAGCTGCGACAACAAGGGGAGGCTCCTGAGCTTGAGCGTTGTGCAGTGCAGCTGCGGGTGCTCGTGGACGGCTGTGCAGTGGTGAGAGCGCCTGATTGGAGGCGAGCTGGTGCTGCGCCAGGGTGCGCAGCATGCTCTCTCGCTCTGTCCTGAGGCATGCTGGCTGGCGCCCAGCACAATGCCCTCAATGCATTGCTCCACGCCGTGCTGGCTGGTGCAGTACTGCCAGGGCGCCGACCGCCGCGCGGGGTGCGCGTCGCCGCGCGTGGCACGGATGGCTCGAGAGGCGCGGCTGTCGGTCAACCCCGCGGCGCATGGGCGCCGCGGAAGCTGCTCGACAGGCTGCGGGCATCGCTGCGGCAAAAGAGCCCGCCCTCTACTTTGCTTTCGCCGCGTTTTACGACAACTTTCGGTTTATCATAGCCGCCGAACTTTACCTCGCTGTTTCTTTATAGGCGTCTCGCAGCTGCGTATTCTCGTATTATCTTCGAGTAGTTGCGTGGGGGCGGTACGTATTCTCGTATCAGTAGCTAGTGTCGTGTCCACTAGCTCCGAGTAGAGGGTGCGTTCTGCTGCTAGGTAGGGGAAACCCGGAGCGCGGTACTATCCCTCGGAGAACCGTGTTATGGCCCTGCGACCGCGCACCCCCCAGGGCTAGGGCTCTCTAGCCCGTAACCCGATCCCGAGCATCCGGCCCGCTGGGTGCGCTTCTCAGCTCCCCGGCCCTGGATGTGAGGCTGATGACTGCACTCCAAGTGCTCCAAGACAACCCAAGGGAGGGATGGGGAGGACGGCACGCCGCCACCACACAGGGATTTTAAGGAGAGGGGTGTGGTGCTAGCCGTCGCCCACCTTGGGCGTCCTCTTCCTATCTCTCTTCGGTCTTCGCAGTCTCTCTCCGATTCTCGCTGCAACCTTCGTGCCACCTCGCGCTCAAGGGTGGGCGCTGTGGACCCCCTACTTACAGGGGAATGGCAAGGGCCCCTTTTCTAGTCTGTGACTGTGTGTAGAGCAAGAGCTCAGAGATGTCACACTCTCTCAGTGTTTTCAATAAAGAAAAAAACGTGCATGAGCGCATGCGGTCGCTCGCTGTCGCTGCGCTGATCCTTTGCAGGGTTCACCCACACGACAGGGTCCCAGGGATTCCTCTCTCGTATAGGACGGGTTGCACCCGGCGGCACGGGGGCAGGCGCGGGCCGCCTCCTACTGGTTGCGCTCTCCTATAGTTCTCCCTGCTCCTGACAAGGGGACAGCGACAGGTTCGCAGCCTTGCTCGGCGCCGCGCATTCTTTTTCTTCAGAGCCTAAAAGAAAGAAAGAAAACAGACAACCCAAGGGAGGGATGGGAGGACGGCACGCCGCCACCACACAGGGATTTTAAGGAGAGGGGTGTGATGCGCTAGCCCTCGCCCACCCGTAGGGAGTCCGCCTCTTCCTATCTCTCTTCGCAGTCTCTCGCCGATTCTCGCTGCAACCTTCATGCCACCTCGCGGTCGTCCCACTCTCGTCGTTCTCTCTCTTGTCGCTTCTTCCTCTGTCGCGGGTCGCTCTCCTCTGCCTCGTCCTGCGACGGCGCTCTTCAGAGCCTTAAAAGAAAGAAAGAAAACACACAACCCAAGGGCATCCCTCCCTTGGGTTGTCTGTTTTCTTTCTTTCTTTTAGGGAGGATGGGAGGACGGCACGCCGCCACCACACAGGGATTTTCAGTGTATGTAGCTCTTACGTACATTCCCGTAGGAGGACTCTGCTGACAGGGTTTGCGATGAGGAGCGACCCGAAGGGTTATTTTAAGGAGAGGGGTGTGGTGCTAGCACGGAGAGGGGTGTGGTGCGTGAGTGAGTGAGTATTCTTGATACGAAACCACGACGACACACACCAGTCGACTCGTATCGGTTGCCTCCAATGAACGGCGGAGCTATTCTCGCGCCCACACCACACCTGGCTCCAACGTGGACACGCCCATAGGCATAGCTGGGGACACCACTAGGTCACGCATGGCATCAGAAGTTTTATCTCTGGGCCCCGAAAGGCATCTCTAGCAGCGTCGTGACGCATGCGCCCTCCCCTCGACACACACACACACATGGTGTGGTGCTAGCCTCAATAAGAAAATAAAGGTCCGGCATTCTTTGTTGTTATAAATTTGTTCGTCTTCAAATTTGGCCGGCGAAATTCTTTTTAAGCGTGCCCAGTGTTGTGCGAGGGAGTTTTGTTGTAAGATTCTTTTTCTTCAGCCGCATGCCCGATGCGGTCGCTCGCTGCGCTGATCCTTTGCCTGCCAGCCGGCAACGCCGTCTCGAGCACGGCGCTGCGTGCGGCGGCGCGGCCGGCGCTGGTGCCGTCCGCCTCACCGAGGGTCTCAGGCGCGATGACGGCGGCGACGGCGACCGCGAGGCCAAAGTTCATGCCCTCGCCGCAGGCGGTCGCCGAGCTTACGGAGAGTGCGACGAAGGACATGCTCGACCGCGTCGAGGCGATGCCGCTCGATCTGCCGTCGTACGGTATCGTCGAGGCGTCGTTCGTGCGCACGGGCGTTGCTCCGTCAGAGGGGACGCCGCCGGTGGTGCTTCTGCACGGCTTCGACAGCAGCTGTCTCGAGTTTCGCCGCACGCTGCCGAAGCTTGAGGCGCTCGGCGTGGAAGCGTACGCGCTCGACCTGCTCGGCTGGGGCTTTGGCGACACGGGCGGCGGCGACGTGAGCGTCGAGGCGAAGCGGGCGGCGCTGCTCGAGTTCCGACGCCAGGTGCTCGGAGACAGGCAGATGACGCTGCTGGGAGTGTCGCTCGGCGCGGCGGTGGTCATTGACTTCAACGCCGTCCACAGCGACGCGGTCGCGTCCGCCATCCTCGTTGACCCGCAGGGCTTCATCGACGGCGCGCCGCCCGTGCCCGAGCCGTTCGCGCGCGGTGGCATCCGCGTGCTAGGCTCTTGGCCGCTCCGCTCGCTCGCCAACCAGCTGGCGTACGCCGACACGGACGCATTCGCCACCGACGACGCGATCCGGGTCGGGCTGCTCCACTGCGCGAGGCCCTCGTGGGAGGACGACTCCGTGTCCTGGCTGCTCGGGGGCGGCTACTCCGTCTCGTCGCTCGTGCCGCGGCTCGCGCCCAAGCCGACTGCAATCCTCTGGGGACGGCAGGTACGAGCGTCCTGCCGCCGGACGCCGGACGTGCTGTGAGCAGCGCCTCTTCACGGGGGCGCCTGTCAACAGGACGAGATCCTGCCGCCGGCCGAGTTCGCGCCCAAGTTCGTCGCGGCGCTGCCCGGCGCTGCGTTCCGCTGGGTCGAAGAGTGCGGGCACTCGCCGCACCTCGAGCAGGCGAGATAGGGGGAGACAGGGGGAGATTCCGGGAGATATGGGCACTCGCCGCACCTCGAGCCGCCACGTGCAACCCCAGCGCGGGCCAAACTCCGGATGCTCTCTCACCGCTATTGACCCGCTATCGACCCGCATCTACGCTCGCCCCGCGCCACGATGCCTCTGACGCCTGTTCCCGCCTCGCGGTGCTCGGCAGCCGGATGCGCTCGCGGCCGCCGTGCGGGCCTTCCTCGACTCTGGGCCCGACGCCGTGGCCGGCGATGACGATGTCTCCGAGATCGTTCGCCTCGCCAACCGCGGCGCGCTCGAGAAGCTCGCCGACGGCGCGGGGCGGGGCGGGGCTCGGCGGCGCCTGTCTGGGAGCCCCGCCGAAAGGTTCGTGAGTCCTGCCGTAGGCGTCAAGGAGCTCGACGCATTCCTCGACACGCCAATCCTCGACCCCAACGAGCGGGGCGGGCCCCTCGAGCCGCTCAAGGCTTTCGTGCGGAGCGAGCCGGAGACGGCGCAGGTTGCGGCCTCGGTGCTCGCCCTGACCTTCTTCTTCGTGCTCGCGCGCGGCCTGGTGGCCGTGCTTGGCTGAGAGGCGCGGCGATAATGAATGAACGACGCAGCCGCGTGCCTCCCACCTCCCTTTCTGCATTCCCAAATGGGAAAAGCTAAAGCCTAGTTTACCGCTAAAAAAATTTGGTAAAAAAATATCCGTACAGGTCTCGCGCGGTGTGTGCGTCTGGGGGGGCGCCCCCCCCATTTTTGTTTACCGATGCGTCCTAGAATGCAAAAACGCATTCTAGGAAGCACTTTTCATCTCAAAGATACCATGTGTCTCGGGTACACAGGGCATTCTAGGATGCGACGGCTGTCCTGGAGGATAGCCGCGCCGTGTCTTTTGTTACGCGTTCCATCTTAGACGCCACAAGCATCTATAGATGCACAGCTGTTCTGAGATGGCAATTGCATACTAGATCACATTTTACTATACTTGGACAGGGAAGCGTCTCAGGAGACACCGTGTGTCGGGTGCACCGGGCACCGAGGGGGGAGCAGGGAGCACGAAATCCAGACGAAATCGAAAAGGCGGTGTGATCTCTCGGCACCCGAGGCCGAGGGCGTGGGCGTGCGCCTAACACGGAAGAGACAGCGTACTTCCGATGTATGTATGTAGAAAGATGAACAACAGGCGGGCTCAGACTGGACACCAACGCGGTATGGGTGGACGCGGGACAGATGATGACGACACGCACGAACGACACACAGACACAAACAAGCTCACAAGACACACAGCCAGCTTCAGAGAGTCGGGCCAGCGAGCGCGTTTTCTTGTTTGACTTGCCGATTGAGGGACCGGGCATCCCGACTCTCGCTCCTGCCTGCTCCTGCTCCTGTGCTCCTGCTCCTGCTCCTCGCTCCTCGCTCGGTGAGCTGTCGCCCACCAGCGCGCGGCGACTGCGCGCACACCGTGCCCGCCGGCTCGCCGCCCTCCTCACCACCCGTCGGCGCTGTCCGCAGGCATGTGAGTCAGAACGGCGACCGCGCAGCGCGCGCTGGTGTCTTGCTCGCCACCACCCTCTCGCCCCCGCTCCGTGACCGCCGCCGCCCGCGCCACCGCCGCCCCAACACCGCCTCGCGCCTCGCGCCTCACCCTCGCCGTCCCCGCCGCCCGCCCTCGACCTCGCGACGGCGTCCTTCTGGGGATCTGCGGGTGGCTTGCCCGCCTCGCCGCCGCCCCCACAGTGACCGCTTCCGCTCGATCGGTGAGCCGTCGCCCGCCACGCGCTCTCTCACGGCGACCGCGGGCCGCTCATCGCCTCCGCCACGTCGCAGGTGTTTGATCTGGGCAGGAAGCGGCGCTGGTGACGGCAACCGGCAGCCTCGTGCATGGAGTGCTAAGCGAGGTGCCTGTGTCCAAGTCTGAGTAGCCCATGGCCGTGAGTGGCGTCAGGGGCAGTGTTCTGTGACTGTGTCCTGTGCGTGCTGTTCAGTGTGAGTCGGTGCAGCGGTGGGCCTGCTGCCGCTGCCAGACGTGAGAGCCGCTGTCCGTGCCCCAGCACGTTGCGCGGAGAGGCTATAGGGCGCCCACCCACGAGTGCTCGGGTGGGCGCGCCGCGACTGTGCGAGTAGTAGTGCAGCGGCCGCGGCGCACAGCCGGGGGCACGGCCCGCCGCGCAGCGCTCGCCACCACACGTTCGTTTTCTTTTTATACGTGCGTGTATTTCTTGAGTTGTTGAGATCCACACGCTGTTCAAAATATGCGCGCGTCTTCTGAGACACGCGCTGTTCACAGTATGCACGGCGCGTCTTTTGAGACAGCAACGCCAATCGGAGATGCCGCGAGCAATTCGGGATGCGCGGAGCAACTAATATGGACTCGCGCATCTTAGGATGCTCGAGCATACCGAGGACAGCGAGCGTCTAAGTAGGACGCCTACTAGACGCACTCTAATCCAGAGACGCATTCGGTAAACAAAGATGGGGGGGTCGCCCCCCCAGACGGTGTGCGAGGCATCAATGGTCTCGTGTGTGAGGCGGCGGCGGCAGATGCCGAGCCGCGAGTATCTTAATTAAAAAAGAAAATGTATCAACATATGCATGTGCATGCAACACTCACACAAACACTCACACACATCACAGTCAACACAGAGCACAAAAATAATAACGAAACACGGGCCCAACCAGCGACCTGCGCGCACGACTCGCATAGACTTGCGGCACTAGCATCCCGCTTCGCTCGGCAAGCCTGCACACGCGCTGGGTTGAGCGTGGCCTCGCGGCGCGACACGCGCGCGCTTCTGCCTCCTCCCCTCCGAGAAGCTTGCTCTCCCCTCGCCCTTCTCCCGCGCCTCCCTCTCCCGCCTCTTCCGCTTCTGCTCCCTCTCCACCTCCGCCCTCTTCCGCTCCCTCTCCACCTCGCGCTCCCTCTCCCGCACCTGCAGCGGCGACCCCACCCCCAGCCGCGAGGCGCAAGCGGCGTACGACACGTCGACGCACGAGCAGTTGGCGCCGCCGCCCCATCCGCCACGTGCCTACGGGCCAAGGGCAGAGCACAGACACCTCGCCCGTCGCACCGTCCATCTCGCTAGCACGCAGTGCCCAGCAGCAGCCGGCCGCAACTACTGCGCGTCATTTGGAGACAGAGAGGAAGGGAGGGAGGGAGAGGGAGAGAGGGAGAGAGCGAGGGAGGGAGGGAGGGTCGCGCCTCCAGCGGGAAGCAGGCCGTCGGCAGCGCAGCCGCGCCGTCCATGCACTCGCTCTTGACCACGATCAGCTCGACGCACCCCACCGCCGTGCGGGTGCCGAAAGGGATGGCGTTGCTCTCGAGGACGTGCACCGAGTCGTACCCCTCTCTCCGCCCGCCCTCGGCGATCCCTACAGACCACGGAGACGCGAGGGTCGACGACCAGTGTCGCAATGCGTCGCCGCCCGCGGCGCTCGGCCGCTGCCCATGTCGTCCCACGCGTAGCTGTTGCGCATGAAGCGGCGGTACTTTCGCGAGGCGGAGCGGAAGGTGCGCTGCGTGCCCGCGCGGCCGACGTTGACGAAGAGCCCCGCCCCGCGCGCCGGCAGGAACCAGCAGCCGTACTGGCTCGCCCCTTCCGGGAAGAGGCGCTTCCCCTGCGGCCGAGGGAGGCGAGCTGGCGGGCTCAGCACGCCGCGCGCACGCGCCCCCGCTACGTGGCAGGAAGGGCGGCTAGCCGGGCCCGCCGCGCTGCAATGCCGGCAGGGCCTGCGGTGGCAAGGCTCTAAGCGTCCGCTGCTCGCCGCACCTTATGCATCAACAGCGACGCTGGCGTCCGAAGCACCTCGAGCCACTGGCCTCTCGGCGGATGAGTCCGGTTGGACACCGGCCGCTGCGCGACGATCAGGCTGCTCGAGTCGGGCATTGGCACGCTGCGCGTCCGCAGGAAGGCGTCCACCTCGGACGCAGTCGGCCTTTGCCCCGGCAGCCACGCGCGGCACTTGCTGGCGGCGCACTGTGGCAGCGGCTCGAACCAGAGATTGCGCTTGTGGCAGCGCTGGGCGGGCAAATGAAGCGAGTGGAAGGCCTCGAACTCGTGCAGCGCCACCGGGAGCGGTGGCGGCTCGTGGTAGACCGCCTCAAAGTAGGCGACCCACGGTGACGCTGCCGAGGAGACGTACCGCGGCAGGCGGAGGAAGAAGTCAGCCGTCTCGCGCTGGTTGCACGCGGAGAAGCAGGCGCAGCGAGGACGGGTGCGGGTTCGTGTCAGCTCGCTCAGCTCGGCGAGCTCCGGGACGCCGAACTTTCGATGCGTCATATAAGTCTAGGGGGCGAGGAAAAACGTGCCGTCCGCCGATCCCGCTTCTTTTTGGGGTCTTGTACGATCGTATTGCGAGTTTTTGTTTCTTTTGTCACCGATGTTTGCAAAGACATTCCTTGGGGACCCTAGCAAATTCAAGAAAGCAGAGAGCAGCGGATTGGGTGCGGCAATATGCAACGCCACTCTGGCCGCCGCGCGTGGCGTCGTGGTGTGCGGTACATTGCGGTGCGTTTTGCGAGGCGCCGAGGCCGCGCGCGCGTCTCTCAGACTCTGACTGGCCCAGGAGCCAGGTTTTTCAGTGTACGGTCTCGTTCTCTCTCCCATGTGTGATATATAATATATATGTAGAGCGCCATATAATAAAAGCAAGTGGTGGCGGGAAGGCGGCCCACACGCCCGCCCCCGGCCCATCTCGTGGCACTGGCACGTGGCAGGTGACGGCTGACACTTTACGGGGTGTGGACCGTGAGTTGACCAGGGGTTGTGCGCCGGGCCCTCCTGCTCGGCTCCAGCGAGTAGAGACAAGTGTTACCATCAGCAGAGGAGAAGGATCTGACCTCGGGGCCGATGTGACCAAGCGCTGGTAGCGTGGTTTTACCTCACACCCATGGTCTCACAGTGTGCCGGCAGTCGCCGAGCAGTGTCGCTCACACAAGCCGCAGCACAAATGACTGAGGGCCAGTGAGGGCGAGCCCATCGCTGTCAAAGCTGTGGCAGCCGCACAAGTAGGCTGTGCCAACTGTGCAGAGCATGTGAGCAGCAGAGGAGCTGCTCTCCAGGCTTCAGCCGCGCGCAAAGAGATGCATGCCACCGAAGGCGCTGTCGAGGTTCGCCGAGCGCGGCGCAGGTTGGGGGACACCGTCACCGACGCGAGCGCGTCGGAGTATTCGCTCCGGACAAAGACGGCCACACGCACACGAGCTGCGGTCGTGTGGCCGATAGCGGCGAGGCGCGGGACCGTCTGTGGCGAGGTGGGTCGCGTCCCTCGATTTCCTCAAAGCCGAGCGTTTTTGATCTCTGGGTGAGTGGGGGGCCGAGCCGCCTCGGGGTGGCGGGCGGGCGGGCGTTTTGAAAAACAGAAAACAGAAAACAAGAGGGGGCCCGGGGCCCGGTCCCCCCACTGGGAGTAGAAAATACGCCCAAGGGGGCCAAGGAGGCGGCGCGGGGAAGCAGCATCAGCGATCAGGTGAGAGCAGTGGAAGGATGGCGCTTAGGGTCGGCTTTGAACAAGGGTATCCAGGTTTTAGATCAGTATTGGTGTCGGCACACATCCCCACATGAGGTCAGCGGCGCGGAGTGCCTCTCTCGGGCAGACTCTCGCAGGCTGATTTTGGCTGTTTTCGAGCTTGTTTTTGTTTTCAGTCTAAGGGGGCCCGACCCCCTCAGAGGCGGCGGGCGGGCGCCCACCCACCCAGAGATCAAAAACGCTCGGCCCAACTCACGGTCCACACCCTCTACAAGCATAAGCTTCCTCTAAGGTTAAAAGAATGGGGCGACCAGGAGCGGCCGCACACTGCTCGGTACCCCCCCTGCACATCTAAAGCCATGGCCGACCCCCCCCAGCAGCAGCGCTCTGCTGCTGGTGGGGTCGGGACCC